CCCCCCCCCCCCCGGGGGAAAATTTCTGAAATAATCACTGGACGGGAAGATGACTTCTCGGCCTTTTAGGCTCAGATCAAAGCGGACTCTTGGCCATTGCCGGGTCTGGTAAAAAAATAACTAATAATAATAATGAAAAGAGAAATTAAGAGGGTGGGGTTTGGGGGCGGGGGGGGGGAGAACTAAAAGACTTACTTCAAGTGTTTACTTCTGAAAATCTTGTGTTTTTTTTATTTTTGATAAGATTCTTTGTTATCTTCCAACTGAAGGTCACGAACATATGGCAGGGCGCACAGGACCTCAGACCCCAGACCAGTTGTTTTAAAGAAGGACGATCAAACCGATCGAGTCGAGCTCGTTAAACACACTGGCAGAAAGATGTCCCACCGGGTCGGCTTTCTCCTTTTGCTACTGATCACTTCCGCGATCGCCCTCGATTTCAATTACTACAGATCCTGGATTGGTGTGGGCTATGACCTCGTGAACTCTAACCCCATGATTGGCAACGAGGCCGCGCAAGGTACGGTGAATTTAAAAAATAAATAAAAAATCCTTGTAAATCCTTTATATTAACTATGCTTTCGTGCGTTTATGGGGAAGTCTTCTGACCGCTAATTGAACCACTTCCGTCAAGCTATCAAGCTGAAACTTGGCACATGGACTCGTTGCCGATAACAAAGCATTCTATTAAAATTTCAGCACCACCAACGAACCCCAACCACCAAACATTATTATTTTTCTGTTCTTCAGTGAGAGGATCAAGGAAGTATGATGCCATTAATGTCAGGGAATAAAATTCCCGATAACTGCGCTAAATGAGATTTTTTTTTTAATATTTTAAAATTATCGAAATTACGTTTGTTGCGTAATATTTTCATTTATTTTTCTTAAATAGTTGGTGTAATAAATCTGCTGGGTAAAAACGGATGGGACATTAGAATATAAATATAAAATAAAATAATATAAATGCATAGAAAGTATTTATACGAAACAAAAAATTCTATTTAAGGGTTCTTGAATTCTTTTAAAAATAATTATAAAGTTAATTTATGGGATAATTTATCAGCATTCAACATTAACGACCTAGTCGTTTGGTAACCGATTATTAGCGTCTATCAAATTATCAACAATTTATTTGGAAAATAACTGACAGTGTCAAAATCGTCATAAAATCGTACAAAAGCTACTCATAACGTCATAGCATCTGTAGCATGATTCTAAGGCAGTGGTTCTCAACCTTCGTAACGCCGCGACCCTTGAATACAGTTCCTCCTATTGTGGCGACCCCCAGCAACATGTCACGAATAAATGCAGATCAGCATATAACGAAATTAGAAAAATCAGCACCATTAGACACCTCCTCTCCTTTGATGCCACAAAAACTCTCGTCTCTTCACTCATTCTTTCAAAATTTGACTACTGTAACATTCTTCTCTCAGGCATTCCTCAACACCACATAGAAAAACTTCAGAAGGCACAGAACTCAGCATGCAGACTCATTTTTAAATCAAAGAAACATGACCACATTCAACCACACATGCGGCAACTCCACTGGCTTCCAATATCCTCTCGCATCAAATACAAGTCTGCCAATCTTTGCTTCAACTCGTTCACTGACCCTCACTTTCCTGTCTATCTCTCTGAACTGTTGCTTCCTTACATCCCCACAAGACAACTACGTTCTTCCATTGACAGTAGAACCCTCTCAATCCCAAGAACTAAAACTAAGACCATCGGTGAACGCTCCTTCTGCTTCCATGGGCCCACGTTCTGGAACCAGCTCCCCTTCCATATACGTCATAGTGAAACCTCGTCCATTTTCAAAAAGTCCCTTAAAACTCATCTGTTTAGGTCCGCCTATGACCTGTGATGCACCCTCCTTGCCCTACCTCATTTTCTGTTTCGGGTTGATCTTGAAGTGTCAAAGTGTCCTCGTTTTATAGCCATTTTCATTGTTTCTATAGAATAGTAGTTACTATCCTAGTGTCTCATTTGTATTTACTTAGTTTACATGTTTTAATAATTGTAAAGCGCTTAGAGCTTTATGATAAGCGCTATATAAAAATGCCTAAATAAATAAATAAATAAATTATTTTACTTGATACTTCATAATTGTGGAGTATATGGTTTTATTCGATGGTCTTCGGTGACCCCTGTGAAAGGGGTCACGACCCACAGGTTGAGAACCGCTGTTATAGGGGGACCACATACAAAAAAAATAATTGATTTACAGTGTTCTCTGATGAGAGCGAAGACAGTTTGATTATACATGCAATCATTGCAATGTTTCTAGTTAAATGTACTGTACTATACTGTACTGTACTGTACTGTACTGTACTGTACTGTACTGTACTGTACTGTACTGTACTGTACTGTACTGTAATGCCTTTGCTTATTTCTAAAGAGTCGCTCGCTTCTTATTTTAATTTTTTTGTTTTTGTTTCCCAAATGTAACATTGCACCAGAGACTGACCCAGGGTTCTACTCCGCTCGGA